CATTAGTGTACGAATCTTTTGTTGTTTTTTGAGTTGATAGTATAGTGCGAATAATGTATTGTGTGGCGAATATCTGTGTACGTGTGTGTGTGTGCGAGGTGCGAGTTCTAGATAAGCAACGTGACGCCGCCTCACGCGAGATAAATAACTTTGTCCCCCTTTGCGGCCGAAAGAGATAGCCAAAGTGGGAGTGCGAAAGAGAGCGGTGTAGGTAACTTTCGCAAATAACAAATATGACATTTAAATGCGACTACTAACGGGGGGCACAATTATCCATATAGATAAAGCCGCCTGCCCAGCCCCCCTACATGTGTGTGTGTGTGTGGAACAAGCTAGACCCAATTATAACATTTAATTGTGGGTGTCGCTGCTCTTGCCCGCTGTGATGAAATAAAAAGGAATTATTTCGTCAGTAATGCGAGTTTTTTGGTAAGAATAGAAAAAGATAATACCAAAATTATTTTCCCATTTAATAAGCAAAAATAACTAAGTTGACTTTGTATTTTGAAAATAAATATGCCAGAGAATCAGTTACTTCTATCAGTCAATAAGAGTTTATTCATAAAATAAATCAACTTCGTTGCTTAGAATGCTAAAAGATAAAACGAAAGTGATTTTCCAATTTAATAAAAAATCTTATAACAGTTGATCTTTTAGTTAAATATTGTAAAAAGAGTGTTAAAAAGCAAGTAAGTCCACGTAATCAATAAGATTAATTATTTGCCTAAGAAAACCAAACTGGAAAGAGTTTGTAAACCCTAAACATTCCAATACTTCAAATTGTCTTTATCAAACATATAAAAATACTAAAGTGATTTTCAAACTTTAATAACAAACCTTCAAAGGCTAAAAAGTGTGTCGAAAAACAAGTAAGTTCTACCAAAAATGAATCACATCATCAGTAAACCCCATTTTTGGTGAGAATACTAAAGGATAAACCCAAAATTTAAGAACAAACATATTTCATTTGTGCTTTTCTTTTAAAATAGTAAAAACCCGCTTTAATAAACCATTAAATTCAATCAATTATTAAGTATTTTTCATAGAAATAAAATATTTTTTACCCTTTCCTACAGTAAGGAATATCTTTACTCAAAATTCCAATATGATTCCCGAAATTTGTAAGCAAACATTTTAAAATTTGTTATAAAACAAGTAAGTTGAACTTCAATCAACCAATCAGTCTTTTCCATGAAATAAGATTTCTTTCACTCAAGATTTCTATCAAACTTGAATATAATTTTAAACCCTATTTCTTGAAACAAAATCAAAAGCTAAAACAATTTAAAAAAGATAACAAAAACTACATCCATTTTTATAAAAATATTTTTTTAAGATTAAACTCATACCGATTTATGTGGAATTTCATTTAATGCCAGAAAAAAGTGTAACGCAAATTGATGACAAAATTTGAGCTTAGCCCTTTTTTAATAAAAGAATATATATTTTTGAAAATTGTATAATCATAATTCCCAATAAAAATTCACAATCCCCAAATCGTTCTTGACTAATATTTACAATATTTACATTAACCTAATCCCAGTGACTTGTTTGAGTAGGCAAACAAGTTGGGATTTTGCAATCTCATTCTGGAAATTTAGCTTGACTCACATTGTAATCTCCATAAACAAGCTGCCAACGAACGTCAGCCCATTATGCGGCATTGGGGTTTGGGCCGGGCTGGACTGGGCTGAACTGGGCTGGGCTGGGCTTGAGCTATGCAGTTCACCAATCTACTAACTTTTTTACGACAAACAATTGCCCCGAAATAATGGCCGTTAATTTCAAATGAACTCAAGTCGTAAAAGTGGCTTGTCTATGTTGGCTGCTTGGATGGTTGGTTGGATATTCTTCGTTCTTGGTTCTGTTATGCTGAACTGGTACTCCAGTACTATATAGAGAGCTAGCTAGGGCTGTACCAGGCGGTGCCTGTTTTTCCGGAGGGTTTTGTATTTTTTATCGGGGAAGTTTTTTAGAAGCGGCATTACATAAAAGGAGCTGGAAAAACTCAGGGTGGAAACATGCGGGCAGGCTGGCAGGCAGGGTTGCTATGAAGCTATAAAACACTTGGAATTATGGAAATGAGTAAATGTCTAAATTACAACGAGATACATAATTACAATGGGGGAAATAATAAAACAAGAAACCCTTCCAAATGAAAAGCTCAAAGTCGATATAGAGCATTTCCAAGCTTAGGCTTGATAATATCTTGTGGTTTTTATGTTTTTTTAAACTATTATAGGGGTTTTCCCCAACATAAAAACCAAATTCCTTTCGCCTCCAAGCATAAAAACCAAGCCAATTATATAACCGACTTGAGGACAGTAATTATTATTTTACGACTATGATTTCAATTGACTTGCTTGGCTTGTCACCGATTGATTTCTTTTTCTTTTTTCCTCCTCTCCTACTCCTCTCCGCTTTTTATGTAGTATTTTTCCTATGTAGTGAATGCCCTCGTTGCGGTTGATCTTTTTGCTTCTGCTGCTGATTGAGCGCTTTTCAACGGGCCTCGATCCAAGCCAACCAGAAAACCAACCTCTCACACTCCACTCAACAAAGCCACCCAACCCCTCCTCTCTGGTGAATGTCTCGCGTGGTTTGTTTGTTTGCACGTTCATTCATAAACTCGTAAAAAATTCGAAAACAAACCAAACCGCCACCAAAAAAAATTCCAATAAAATTTTCATTAACTCACAACAACAGCACCAACAACGAAAAAAAGAAAAAATGTAAGAAAGCCGAAATACCAAGAAATAGAAAACGCAACGAAAAACGGGGAGATCCGTTTCGAAAAACTGAACACAAAAAAACGTAACGAAGCATACCCAACATCAACAACAACAATATTAATAACAACAACAAAAATAACAATAACGATTCAGAGGCCTAGCCCAAAAAGCCGTCGAACCCAATCGAAATGGAGCCAGCCGATCCGAAAGAAACCATTACAAGAGACACCTGCGAAAATGTTAAAATAATAACGAAATGCCAGTGCGCCCTACAACAAATTAACTCCGATACGTGAGCATACAAAGTAAACGGCTTTTAAAATTTTCGGGGCATTCCACATTCCACAAACGCATGGCTGGCCAAAAGAGCGGGGGGTATGTATGTGATGGGGCTGTGGAGACGGAACCGAGACGGAAATTCCATGATCATGACGTACTCGCCCGGGCGATGACAGAATTTTATCGCCTCGAAAATATTGGTAATCACCTCGTAAATTATTTCTACACATCTTTACAGTTTCTATTAAATAAATGAACCGATAAAAAATATTTAATAATTTAAGGTCAATAAAAAATAAATACTACCAGCATAGAAGGCTTTCATGGAACTTGTAAGACTATTTCTGGATTAAAATCATATTCTTCGATTAACAAATCTTCGATAAACTGAGAAACTCGTTCTGCCTATTTTGTGGTGTGAATTATTTTAAAATACTTTAGTAACTAATTTTTAAACATTTTTAACATAATATTGACTAATGACAATGACTTACAAATAGGTTGGAATATATTAATATTTAATCAAGGAAATTTAGACAAATAATTTTAATTTTCAAAACATAAACTTTTTTCGCGTTACATAATATTTATTAACAATTATGGTTGACATAAGAGTTTGTAATTTTTAAAAAGTATTTTTCAAAATTTACCTTTTAGTCTCTTCTACATTTATTTCTTAATAACATATACTATTTAAATCGAGTAATTTAATCGATTACAATTACTATATAGAGCTTCATTTTGCATATCTGACTCATTTATGGGACCTAATAAAAAAGCATTTCACATTCCCAAAAATTCGGCATCTATAAAACGAAACGCACAGCAATCGCTGGATCGTTGGGCATGTCAACAATAAATACGCATATCGCAGTTAAAAAGCTCAGCCGATAACAACAATTGGGAGCTAGAGCCGTATCGAAAATCTAGAAAAGTCACAAGCCCCGGCGAAAACAACAACGTCAGCTGATTAAAACCAAAAATACCGATCTCAGTGCGTGAGCCAAGTCAGAGGCGGCCAATAGAAGATGGCCAGCGATAACGATAACGATAGTACTGTGATTTCGATTTCTTTCTCTGTGTTTGTGTTTTAAGTTTAGTCTTAGATATTCTAGTCTAAAATAGTTATAAGGTTAACTATTTTACTAGAATAATAATTTAAATTCATCAGAAATCCTAAAAATTGTATATCTAGAGAGATATAATCTTAAAAAGTATCATGATCACAATTTACTATTTAGAAACGCTCATAAGTCTTTTATTCTCCCCCATTTATTTTCACATAAATCTAACAAAAACCCACATTTCACACGACAATATAGGCTGGCAATGTTAATCCCAGAAAAGACGTTCATTACCCCGCCGCATTACGAAATCTCGTGACTTTCACTATATAGATAGAGCCCCCAGACTTTGGTCATCAATCACATGGGCGGAGCGGTAAAGTACCACAGCCTTGTGACAATCCAATAAGCCGTCACGTTCGAATCAAAATACATTGTTTATTGCACATTTTCCGGGCTGCCTGACTGCCTGCCTCATTCCCTTTTCTTTTTTTTTTTTTTTATCAGAATACACTTTGCACACGTCATCGTCCATATCAAAGACGATGATTAGGGGGCGATCCTTGACGTGATGTTGTTATTTTTACAGTTGCATTGTCGAGTGCTAGCTACAGCACACCCTCTACCCCTTTTCTGTCTGTGTTTATTCAATGAATTATTATTCAGTCAGTCAAGTTAGTCAGTCAGTCGATCGGCAGGCATTGAATTTCACAATAACAATAACAAGATAAGGGCGAACATTACTAGTGCAATTGTTCTACTAAAATTAATGATACGAACAAAGTTCATACAAACAAATCAGTGGCTAAAATTAGAATTCCAGGAAAGCAATTAACAAAGATTGATCTTTATGAAAAAGGAAAGCATATCTTGAAAGTGGCACACTATCAGGGAAATTAGTTGTATTTGAAAAAAGTCTGCATACCTTTTAGTTTTGGACACTTCGCTTGTGAGATTGTTGATTATTCTTTGCACACAGAAAACCTGAAAGTAACACAAATAAAAACATAAATTAGTTAAATATATATATTAATAAAGTCATCAGAAATTCTTACTAATAATACAAGATAAACATCCAAACGAATTTACAAGGGGATCAAACCCCCTCATATCATAACTTCCCAAGGTTCTGCCCTTGACTGATATTTACACTTCAAAGTCTTCCCCCTACTGATCTATCTGTCAGGTGAACAACAGTTGGTCTGCAAGTGCTGTTTGCAACATTATTGCACATTGTGTCAATAAATTATACGAACGTCATTGGAAAAGCCTTCACAGACGATCCCTTTCATTCCCCATTTCGAGTTCCTGTTTGCCAATCGCAAATATTGTCGAAGTACTACGCGGAATGAGCAATTTATATGGCACTTCCTGTTATGTTTGCTTCCCAGTTGACCCATTTTTTATTTGGTTAGCCATTCTTTTTTTTTAACGTTATTTTCTGTTGTTGTTTTGTGCGAATAGCTTACAGAGAATTCTTGGAAAAGCTACCACAAACAACAAGAAAACAAGTTGAGCTTTTGTGATTGATCGAATAAGCGATTCCCAGTTATGAAATTAAAGTAGGAACTATTTGTAATTTGCCTTAAGATGAAAGGAAAATGAATTTTCATTTATTTTTTGTGGCATCAATTAGCTATCCCAATATATTCCGATTAATAACTAAGATGAAAATCATATTTTTAAGATCCTGCAAGTTAAAAACCTCCCCAAGATTACTACTTTATTTAAATTTGTCATTTAAAAGATTTTTATATAGAACCAGATCGAAACTATGTTCTATTTTAAACAATAATACCCATATATTAACAAATCTAATACTCATAATCTATTTTTATAGCTCTCGCAATTTGATTAGATTCTAAGAGTGTCAATGTTGGTTTCCGCATCGCAAAAATAAAGCTGGCGCCTGATATATACATACATACATATATAGACTTATATTCCAGATTCAGTATCAGTACGTGAGAATGACATGAATATGTGCCACATGCACATGCACATGCAAGACGATATGTGCAATAAGCCAAATATTGATGAGTGTCCTATTTGTGTAAACACTTTGCCATACAATCAATTGCAGTCTTTATGCTCTGACAGGGTCTTTGATACTGGGCCGTAAACATGGTTAAAGACCGTATACTGTTCGCCTATAATCTCTGTCAACCCAACTTTGTTTACATAGTATTTTCATTGGAATTCGGCACAAGTTGCGGTTGCTGTTTGTTATTGTTATATCGCTCCCGCCTGATTTTGCCAGCCTGCAGAAATAGTTTATGTTATTATGAAAGGCCATAAATAAATATCTAAGCCTTTAAGTAAATATAGATAGATGTTTGCTTATACATACAGATATGAAATAACTTTTAGTTATTAATAATATTTATATCTTTCTTATATCTCCATCAAAGTATATAAAAATCTCATAATATCTTTTATTTCTATTTACTATCTTTTCCCTTTCTTCGCATAAACTTTACAGATTATGCGCAACCTACAAACCATAATCGACATTAATTAACTTTAATTAAAATCTGTAAACCACTTCAAATTATCAAATACAAAAACCAGTTTTGCCTTTCAATTGAATCGTGTGAAATGTGTCTCGTCTTTCATAATGTTGAGTAATTAAAGCTTGGGTAATACCACCGCATTTCCAATAATGATTAAATGATTAAATGATTAATTATGGTAGCCAAAGCAATTCCTGGTTAGAGAGCAAACTTTTTAAAGACCTTGAGCTGCCCAGTTCCGGTCAGATAAGACTCGAAAGATCCTTTTCAGGCTGGTTTTATTTCTTCTCTTTTCTTTATATATTATTGACTTGCGGTCGTGTCCAAGTTGAAATCCGCTTGGGTTTATACAACATTTTTGTGGTTTAGTTGTTTATCAAAGTGTTAAATGCAAAATGGGATACATTTCAACAGCTATGGTGGAATAAGCAGTAGGTTTTAGCAAAAGGTTTTAAATTCTTTTAAGATTAAGTTTCAAAACATAGAAAACTTAAGATAAGGTTTCCATTCAAAATATCTTTAAAATTTTTTAATGAAACGAAATTGAAAAGTTTTTACTTCCTTAACTACTATTTTCTTCACCTAAACTGTGTTTGGATACAAGTTTGTAAACGTAAATGTGTGCGTGTGCTGTGTTTTTTATTGAATGAAAGGCACGAAAAGCAACAACTGTCGATCCCATGGTACTTGCACTGCTTGCTCACCCAATCTCTTGGCTGCTCCCTCTCTTTTTGCCTCTGTCCTTCTCGCTCTCACGCTCCCAAGCGGCGTATGTGTGAATGAATGCAGTGGCGTAAATAGCAACCGCAACAACAACAACAAAAACAAGCAGCGTGAATCAAGTGAATGAAATTTTTAGCGCGCGCCTTTTTTTCTCTGTGTGTAATGACATTTTCAAGTGCCCGGACGCCCGTTATACGTATATGTACAAGTGTGTGTGTGTGCGACTGAGTGTGTGGAATGCAAGTGAGTAAACAACAATAATTGTCAGCGGCAATAACAGAAATAACATTTCATATAAATTCCGATTTGATAAGCTTTCCTCTCTAATCTCGACAGGGGATTTTCCCCTCCCGTACCATGTTTTTTCGTGTGTGTGGTTTTGTTTTTTTTTGTTTTTTGTAGGTTGGCCAACGCTTTTATTTGCTTGCTTTTATTATTTATGATACGTTCCGCTCTCCTCCATTGCCCAATTATTTTTGATGGAATGCATTGCACAAGGTTTTTTCTCTGTGTGCACGCTGGAGTGTGAGTGTGAGTGTGAGTGAGAGTGTGAGCTTGTGTGAGTTGTTTGATTTGGCATTTTTAAGTTATCAATGAATTTCACACAGACACATACTAACACATGCGAGCACATGAAAGGCGGTCGTGAGTAGAGTAAATGTGTACGCGTACTTATTGAATTCGATTTCATTCACAGCCAGAGACCCCAATTTCCCCCACGTTTACCAAGAAATTCAAGTAAATGAAATTACCTACAGTGGAACTTGGCTAACAGGGATTTCTTATAGTATAAATTTTTAACTTCATTTTAAGTTATAATAAGAAATATGAAATTATTTGGTTGTTTGTTATTAAATCTATAAAAACAAAAGTACTACGAAAATCTGTACTTTTTTATTTACTCATAAGCCTTATTTATTAACATATAAGTCATTTTATTATTAACCAAATTATAAGAAAAATTAACAAATATTACATATTATTTAAACCTTTAAAAGATTCATAGTAAAGTCTTAGTTTCTAGCATTACGAATGATTTCATTAAACTTTTTCTTCCGATTAACAACAAAATTAATCTTTTTTTTCTAATATAATGTAACTATATTATAAAATCAACCTTCCACTTAGAGAAGTTTAGCTTTATTTACCTATTGCCAGAGGGTAAATACGGGCTATATTTGTTTACCTTATCAGCCACCTTATCGCTCTACGGTCACTTCACAAATATTCTCCCACTTTTCAGCTTTCCTGTGAATGAATATATTTTTCCCTTTTTCGGAAATGGAAATGGGAACACAACAATAATAATATAACCAACCCCTACTACCTCCCTCACTCCCTTCAATTCCACTTTTTCCAGCCCATTCATTTATTGCCATCTGTCGGGAGGTCTTGGCTATATCTTTCGAGCTAAATCAGAACTTTGACGGGGCCAGTCACACAAGTCAAGCTAATTAATAACAAGCAATGGTTGTCCGAAAAAAAAAAGATTCCCCTCTTTCTCCGACCCCGACAAAATTTGTTGTTCTTACATCTTATCAGTTGAGATTCTCGCTCGTGCGTCCCCTCATCTCTTTTATTTTTCTATGTTTGTGTGTATGTATGCGTATGCATGATTTTTTTCTGCTCGCCGCTTGTCAATTTTGACATTTGCTATTGAACCGTTCATAAAATAGGCGCCAGACTGATTTTCGCTTGAGTTTTCTTTGCGTCTCGCCTCGCCTTTGCCACTCACATCTCGCATCTCGGTTTTTGTTTTGTTTTCTTGTTATGATTTATTAAACATTTATTTGGCTTAATGAATTAATTTGATTTGATTTCGACAGCGTAACGGAAATGCCTGCCTGCCTATGTTTGTATGTTATGTACATATATGTATGTATGTTTTGCAGGCATGTGATGGTTGGTCTTTGTCTGTGTGGGGCGCCAAAAAGGCGCGATGCACGACGCAATTGTCTGAGCTTGGGGAAAAAGTGCATGACAAAACAAAAGAGAAGAAAAACAAACGGAAAACCAAAAACGACAAAGACTATACAGGAGAAACTCATTAGAAAAGATTATCCTATTAAAGTTATTAAGATACTAATAATTTAGAACTTTAAAAGCTCCCTGAAATGTTTATATTAGTTAACTTCCATTTTCTCTTAAATAGGTTAATTTTTAAAAGGTTAATCTAATAATAAAATACATAAGTAACTTAATATTATAGAAGTTGTAAATAAATAAATAAAAATCCACTTTAAAATATGTATAAAATTGATAATGCAAACGATAAGTGCAATATATTTCAAACACCTTTAGTAGCAGTTGATATTTTGGTTAACTTTTTACAATGCCATTTACAAAATTTCCACTGTATTGCAAGCTAGGGAAAACGCAGCAGGCCTCTTGAGCATAAAATAGAACGCAATATATTTTTACAAGCGTCTGAAAAATACAACAACAACAACAACAACACAACTACAACAACAACAAAACAACAACAGAGCCAAGTTAAAATAGTTGTTTAGCTATTAAGTTCCGCTTAAATTGTTTTCACATTTACCTTATGCCCGCTCGCCAATGCTACAAACATAGATACATTTACACATCCAAACAAACCAAAGCGCCAGCGGCAAAAGCAACAACAATAACTACAACAACAGCAGCAGCAGCAGCAGAAACCACTGGAATGACGAGGAGAACTACAAAAGCAAAGTGCGAGGCACAAAAGAACCTAATCAAGAGCAAAACGCCGCAAATAAAGCA